GTGGATTTGTAGGACAGGGCAGGTGTTGGGTAAGGTGATCTTTTTTATTTTAATTTTTATTAAGGGTCAGGTGATCTTTTTGACATGAGAATACATTTTATTTTTATTTTTTAAATGTTTATATTTGAGAGAGAGAGAGAGTGAGGTGTGATCAGGGGAGAGACAGAAAGGGGAGAGGACAGAGGATCCAAAGCTGGTTCTGCGGTGACATGCTCTGTGTCCTGGTAACCAAGCAGCCAAGAATTCTGGCACCCATCTATGGTCCTTGCCATAGTCATTACTATGATCACATTAAGCATTGCAAAAGAATGATTTTCTCATTCCAGGGGTCTCTTTCCTTGTGTAAGACCCATTTCGCCATGATGTTTTAAATCGTCATCCCTTTGAAAAGTAGCTGGGATGAAAATTGGTCCACATTTTTATAAATACCGAAAACAAAGTTAAATGTACTGTTTTTGATACATCCATGTGTTCATGACCAGAGACCAATCTGAATGGGCTTCTACTGCTCAAAGACAGAAGAATTTCCAATAATTGCAATGGATCTAAACACCTCAGATATGCTTATCGTCAGGAGCTTACCATGCCACTAACAAATCAAAATTGGACGAAGCTGGCACACAGCCTTGTTATTTTGATAGCTGGTAAATAAAGGAAAAAAAGATCAAATATTTATCCTGCCTTTACCCTACACAGAGTTCCTCAGGTGACTAAATCACTGATGAGGGGAAGTTTTCTTGCCGATAGGGGAAGAAGGAATGCAGGAATGAGGACATCCCTAGCTGGCACCCAGTAATGGACGAATGGATTTGGGCATTGTGCTCACATCACAAAAACATGATTTAGGATGAAACACAGGGGCTTCCATGCCCTAAAGGGCCTCTGGAGGTTAATACCACCCTTCCTTGTTGTTTGGGGCCACTTCCCCGAGCTCATCTTGCCAAACCATGTCACAACCATGCTGGCCTTCTGTATGCTCTGAGAGCCCCTCGAGTCTTCACTCTGTCTGATTGGCACACTCCATCCCCCAAGACCCTTGGGTATTCCCCAGATTTCAAGGATCTCAGGGCCTAACTCAGGTGAGAATGTTGGGTCCCCACTTCAGTACCACTGGTGCCATATCCAAGCCCATTGGGTTCTGTGTTTCTGTCTCAAATTCGGGAGCTGAGTCAAGCATTTCTGTACACAGACCACAGCTCTGAGCACCACACACCTTTGTTCTGTATAACACATGGGAGCCCTGTAGAGAGAGGCCTAGAGGTGATGGGGGTAGAGGAGCTCCTTACAGTATCAGGGGCCAGATCCCCCCACCTTCAATATCTCTCTCCTCTGTTACTGATTCAGAAAGTTCTCTCTGCATTGGCCAATTTGACCTATTCCTCCCCACATCATTCCCACTTGCTGTACATAATCCCCAGCTTTATATGTGAGGCATCAGAGGTGTGTGTGTGTGATTGTGTCTGTGTGTCTGTGTGTCAGTGTGTGTGTGCGCGCGCACATATGTGAGAGAAAAATTCTGACAGAAAGACAGACAGACAGATGGACAGAAAGTGGCCACTCACTAACGTGACATGATTTCCCTTCTTAGGGAATCCCAATGACCCCAGCCATCTCAGGGGATTCTAGAATGGCAGGGGCTTTGCACCTCAAGGATTCATTCAGTCATGTGACTAATTACTCATTCATCTTTTCGCTCAACTCTGTTATCACCTCGTGTTTACCAGACACATCAAATGAGTAGAAGGGATCCTGCCCACTGAGAATTTGCAGATTAGTGAAGGAGAGAGACCTGCAAAGTAAATTTGGGTCTGTCTGGTAGATGCTAAATATATTTAGGAAAACACAATGACCGCACATGGCAGGAAGCTAGTAACTGCCTAAAGAGGTCAGGGAAATCTTGGCCTAAGAGTGAGATTTGAGATCATAGTGGAGCCCTGAGTTGGGGAAGCCAGCTGGAGGACACTGTAAAGGAAGACAGGAAGTCCTGTCTGCAAATGAATGGCTTGGGGAAAGGGTCTGAAGCAACAAGTATAAGGTGTTGGATCAATTGCAGATGGATTAATATGGCTTAGAGGGGGTGGATAAGACCTGGGACTTAGAGGCAGAGAAGGACAGATACCATATGTTTGCACATATAGGAGGATTAGGAGGAACTTAACGGAGGACCATGGGGGAGAAGAGGGGAATAATAGTGGGGGAGAGGGAGAGAGGCAAACCATGAGAGACTCTTGAATGCCGAGAACAAACTGAGGACTGTTGGGGGTGGGGGGAGGGGAAAGGGGGTGATGGGCATGGAGGAGGGCAATTGTGGGGATGAGCACTGGGTGTTAGATGGAAACCAACTTGGCAGTAAACTATCAAAAAAAAAAAAAAAAGACCTGGGACTTAGGACCAGATCAGGACCAGCCTCCAAAGTCTGCATCATGAGTCTGAATTTGATCCTTTCGATCTGTATGGTGCTACCCAAGGCATTGACAGGTGTTGGATACTTGGAAAGTGGCTGATCCAAAAAGAAAGGAGCCATGATTGCAAACAACGCTCTGGAGTTTGAAGATTTTGCAGAAACCTTCAAAAGAGATTAAACCCTCTGGTAGCTAATATTTATATTGATGGCATGCCGAAATGATCATATTTGGGATGTATGGAGTTAAAAAGAAAGTACTATAAAAAATCGTTTAGGGGCACCCAGTGGCTCAGTTGGTTAAGCGTCTGACTCTTGATATCAGGTCAGGCCATGATCTCAAGGTTCATGGGATCAAGCCAAGGACTAGGGGTCTTTGCTAACAGAGAGGAACCTGCTTGGGATTCTCTCTCTCCCTCTCTGTGCCCCTCCCCCACTTGTGCTAGCACACACTCTCTCTGTCTCTCTCTCTCTCTCTGACTCTTTCAAAATGAATAAATACTCACAAAAATCATGTACCTGTTTCACCTGTTTCTTATTACCTTTCTTAAAAAATGTAGCCCATGGAAAATTGAAAATTACAAACGTGGCTTGCATACGTGCCTTCAAAGGTGAGAGACAAAGGTTAGAGAAGAGGAGTGCAGGCAGGGCTGGCTCTGGGTGGGGGAGAGGGGGACGGGCAGGAGGCCAGATAATGGTGGAGGTGAGAAATGACTCAGGCTAAAAGAACCGGACTCAACAAGGAGGAAGGCCAGGCGTGGTGACTGATGAGGAAATATTAACACTACTCTTTTGTGGAGGAGCCATTACAGTTAACTGTTTTATTGAAATCAGTCCGTACTGTTATGATCCTCTTTACATACGACAATGGGGATGTTGGCCTAGAATCCAAATGGGGCCAGCCCTTCCTAGGCTGACCAGAGCTGAGACTCACAGTCTGGCTAGCCTGAGGCCCTAGTCCAAGGCCTCACCCTCTGTGGACCTATTAGGGCAGAGTGGAGTGTTAGGATAACGGAGAGTCCCAACCTGACTCTCTGCTCTCTGGATTTCTTGTCAAGGCATGGAATCCTAGAATCACAAGGGTGAAAGCAGAACAGCAGGTTATAGGTGGGCCCACCTGGCTGGCCTTCAGGAACATGGGCCTGGAGGTCCCTCTCCAGGGGCAAAGGTAATGCATACATTTGAGGAGATAGAAGCTCAGAGGGTACCTTGAACATGTCACGAGCTGAGACCATTGTTTTGCACACATGAAAGGCCAGTATTGACACAGGCCCACTCTCTGGGGGGACCCCATGATAAATGGATGTTCTCAGCCAAGTTTGGGATTACAGAGAGGATGGTTTGCCTGGCACCTCCCTGAGTATGAGGCATGTCCAGTCTATGCACCTGTATATGGGGTCTGTTTCTGCAGGGCACATCCTGACCCACCACCCAGGTGGTCTGCTATGGGTCCAGGCTACAGGACCCTCTTCACCCAAGAAGCCCATCAGAGAGGCCACTCCCCCTGCCTCCAGGGTTTTCCAGGGGTCCAGAGGTTTCCATAGAGTTACCAGACAGGAGGAACTAAGGTTGACCTTGATTACCCCACCAAGCGTAGCTGCATTGAAACCCAGAGGCAGGAGTGTTCCTCCGGAGCAGGTGCTGGCAAGCTCTGGTGCCATATCTGGCCCAGCCCTATGGTTCTGTAAACAAAGTTAACTAGGAACACAGCCATGCCCATCTGTTTACGTAGTATTGCCTGTGACCGCTCTCACATTGTAAGGACAGAGGTGAGTAGTTGGGACAAAGATCATAGCTTGGAAAGCCCAAGTGACTTAGTTTGTGGCCCCTCATAGAAAATATCTGTGAGTCCCTGCCGAATATACCCATTTCTCTCACCGAGATCAAAGGTGTTTAATCAAGCAGATTTTGCCACCTGGAGGGCATTTGGCAATGCCTGGAGACGTTTCTGGGTGTCATCAGTAGGGGCAGGAGGCCGCAGGTGCTGGCATTTGTTGGGTAGAGGCCAAGGATACTACTGAGCAACCTAGTGCACAGGACGGCCTCACAACAGAGAACTGTCTGTTCCAAGGTCATGGTACCGACATGGAGGACCCGCTTCAGACCTATCACTGGGGACCCACTGTCCTCCCCAGAGGCCCGAAAGGGTTGTTGGTTTTTTGTTTTTTATTTTATGTTGTTGACCCTGTAACTCCTGCACAACAGAACAGACTGTCCTCAACAGGAGCACCCCCCAGGGTGCAGCCCCTGCCCCCCAGGACGCACAAGAGCAGGGCCTTGGGCCAAGCATTGTGACCAGCTGGTCTCCTGGGCCTTCACCCTAGACTGGTTCTAGGGTGTGTCCCACTGAGAGAATGAGAGCTCTCTTAGAACATCTGAGGCCTCCTCAGTACAATTTGGCACACTAGACACACAAACTCAACAAGACAACTTCTCAAGACACAAGGAACTTTAATCCTCCAATCCCACATTCGTGGTGTCTGAGCAATTCTGCTGAACAGGAAGAAGCTGATCGGCTTTCTTCTGGGCTCTGTGAAGCCCACGGCCCACCCTCCTCGCCCATATTCGCCCCTCTCTGAGGAGGTGTGCCCTTTGGCCTCTAGTTCAAGGTAACTGTGTCTGGCGGTGCCTGGGACCCTGGAACAGCAGACTCCTTTCCTTCCCTCCTCTCTCCCCTCATCTCCTTATCCTTATCCGAGACCTGGGCTACTACAGAACAGTAATACATAGCCTCATCCTCAGGCTGCAGCCCAGAGATGCTCAAATATCCCGTGTTCTTGGCCACATCTTTGAATCCAGAGAAGCGAGGGGGAATCTTGTATCCCTGGCTGTGGTCGGCGTGGGAGAAATATCTCAGCACGAATCTTGGAGGGAGGCCGGGCCTCTGCTGGTACCAGTAGATGTTATAAACCCTGACATCGTAGTCTCTGCTCAAGGTGCAGGCCAGATGGACTGTCGTTCCAAGGGGCGAGGACACCAATGGCGGCTGGCTCAGTAGGGGCTGAGAGTCACAACCTGGGGACACAGAAGCACATGGGCAACTTGCAGAGGAGGGCGGGAGATGGGGCCAGGGGAGGTGAGCGCTGGGGTGTTCTCACCTGCATAGTAGATGAAGAGTGCCAGCAGGACAGGAGTCCACAACATGGTGTGGACCTGCTGAGTTCTGTCTCCTTTGTGCTGCTAGGGCTCCTGGGACCCTCTCGGGGCTGGGCCAGCATGCTTCTGTCCCCTCCCAGGGGTGGGGCCATTGCACCCCTGGTTCTGGCCACCACCATCCTGAACTTTCTTGAGTTTGCAGTGTCGGTTGGGGAATGGCCCCAAGGCAGCCTTTGTGGCTCTTTACTTTTCCCCACCAAAGCGTCTGGGGAGGAAGCACCTGTCTGAGGCTCACGGACCACTGCCCTGGAGACCAGCCTACAAGGTTGCATCCCTGAGGTAAGGTCCTCCTGAGGAAGCTGAACCCCACAGAAATAGGGTTCTTGTGCAAGCTGACATGCCTGGTGAGCCGGTAGAAAGGACACATCCTCGGGGGGGTGAAAACACCTGCTTCGTGCAGCTGAAATTCTGGGGTTCTGGGGTGAGTGGGATACTCTGTCCCCTTCCATGCTCCTGTCATTCCCTTCCACCAAACCCAGCCCCCTTTCCCTTCTAGAATGAAGCAGCAGGGACCCACAGCTTCTGAGAAGAAAGCACCAGCAGGGGCTCGGGGGCCCCCATGTGCGGCCCGGGACAGGTGGGGGCAGAGGTAGAGCTGCATTTCCCCCCATCGGCGTCCTGCAGAGGCCGTGCTCCGGCTCTCCTGACACTCTGCTCTTCACAACAGTCTCCCCCCGGGGCGGGAATGGCAGAAGCCCCTGGTCCTCGGCCCGCTCCTTGGCCAGACCCATCCCTGTTCCACCTGACCTGACCCCATCACCAAGGACTTCCCGAAGGCCTGAGGCCTGTTTTCTGTTCCATGTAAGCCACAAAGCCGTGCGGGGTGTGCAGCTGGAGGCTGCTGGGATGCTCAGATGAAGACCTACGTCCCTCCGTTAACCAGGGTTCTCCAGAGAAACAGAGCCAATAGGGTATGTACCTAGGAAGAGATTTATTATGATGGATTGCCTCTCCTGGTTATGGAGATTGAGAAGTCCCACGATATGCCATGTGCAGGCTGTAGACCCAGGAAAGCCAGCGGTGCACCTCAGTCTGAGTCCAAAAGCCTAAGAACCAGGGGAGTCCATGGCGTAAAGCCCCGTCCAAGGGCAGGAGTAGACCGATGTCCCAGCTCAGCAGGCAGACAGGAAGCAGAAAGGGGCAAATTCCACCCTCCTCCCTCTCTCTGTTCTGTTCAGGCCCTCCATGGACTAGAAGATGCTCATCTGCATGGGGAGGGCCACCTGCTTTCATGAGCACACCGGTTCTGATGCAAATGTCATTCAGAGATAACCTTCACAGACACACCTAGAAGTAATGTTCAATCTGGGCATCCCTTGGACCACATGAAATCAACCATCTCACTCCATCATCCCTTCTCTCCTCATGTCATTCTAGAACTTTCTCAGCAAGGCACAGCTACAAAGGGAAGCCTAGGGAGTAAAGGAGCCGTCAGCTCTTTCTCTGGTGGAGGCCAAAGAAAGATAAGAAAAAAAGAAAAGGGGTCACCCCAAGTGGGTGGGTGATCTGAGCTGCTGTTTCTACTCAAGAGCCATAAGCAGAACCAGACACTGAGATGAGAACACATTTTTTAAAGATTTTGTATTTATTGGGGCGCCTGGGTGGCTTAGTCGGTTAAGCGTCCGACTTTCGCTTAGGTGATGATCTCGCGGTTCGTGGATTTGAGCCCCGCGTCGGGCTCTGTGCTGACTGCCAGCTCGGAGCCTGGAGCCTATTTCAGACTCTGTATCTCCCTCTCTCTCTGACCCTCCCCTGCTCACGCTGTCTCTCTCTGTCTCTCCTAGAAATAAATAAAAATATTAAAAAATAAACTAATTAAATAAATAAAAAAGATTATGTAATTATTTTTTGGAAGAGATAGTATGCACTTGAGTGGGACAGAGGCGGAGAGATTGGGAGAGAGAGAATCCCAAGCAGGCTCTGGGCTCACTGCTTGAGGCTTAGTCTGAGGAATGTCAGATTATGACCTGAGCCAAATCAAGAGTCCAACTCTTAAGTGACTGAGCCACTAGGAATCCCAAGAACTCATTTTAAATTCTAGAAATGGCTGCAAGGTGATCCACATATGCAACAATTTCGAGGGCAGAGTGCAGAAAAACACCCAGATGTGACTTTGTCTCCCTTGGGGCTGCTGCCAATCAGCTCCTTCTGGTGTCTGTACTGAAGGCCTTTGGGGTCATCTTGACAGTAGGTAGCCAAAGAGCTCCCAGCCCAAGTCAAAGAAATCCACTTCCAGGGCAGGAAAGGAAGCAGATGGGGTTACCCACCTACTACACACCCACCCACACCCCACTATTACAGGTGTGCTTGTCTGGAGCCTATTAAGAACAAAAGACTCTTCCGTAGTTCTAATCACTTAAGAAACTTCAAGGGTTGGGGCGCCTGGGTGGCTCAGTTGCTTGAGCGACCGACTTTGGCTCAGGTCATGATCTCACAGTTCGTGGGTTTGAGCCCCACGTCTGGCTCTGTGCTGACAGCTCAGAGCCTGGAGCCTGCTTCTGATTCTGTGTGTCCCTCTCTCTCTGTCCCTCTCCTGCTCATGATCTGTCTCTTAAAAATAAATAAATGTTAAAAAAAAAAAAAGAAACTTCAAGGGTTTCAGGAGCTCTCTGCCAGGAACTGGAAGGTCAAATACTTATATCTTATCATAAATCACAATATCACAGGCTGGTGCTCCTAACCGGGGAAGACACATTACTGACATTTTAGGAGAATTTGGGAACTGGAGTTTTATATGACCTCTTCTTTCACTTAAGCTGTTCTTTGAGACTCTTTGCTCAAGAGCAGCCACTGTGAATATCCATGGTCCCGTGTCCATGGAACGTAGAGTCTAGTGGGGAATCCTAAGTAAGTACAGTTGACCCTTGAATAACTGGTATGAACTGCATGGGTCCACTGACATGCAGATATAGGACAGTACTATAAAAGTTTTCTCTCTTCCTTATGATGTTCTTAATAACATTTTCTTTTCTCTAGCTTATTTAGTGTCAGAATACAGTATCAAAATATGTGTTAATTGACTGTTCGTGTTATTGGTAAGTCTTCTGGTCAACAGTAGGCTATTAGTAGTTAACTTTTGGGGGACTCAAAAGTTATATGCGGGTTTTCAGGGTGACTGGGTGGCTCAGTTGTTTGAGCGTCTGACTTTGGCTCAGGTCATGATCTCACAGTCTATAAGGTTGAGCCCTGCATTGGACTCTGTGCTGACAGCTCAGAACCTAGAACCTGCTTCAGATTCTGTGTCTTCCTCTCTCTCTTCCCCTCCCCCACTCATGCTCTGCTTCTCTCCTTCTCTCAAAGATAAATATTAGGAGCGCCTGGGTGGCTTAGTCGGTTAAGCGTCCGACTTTCGCTTAGGTCATGATCTCGCAGTTCGTGGGTTCGAGCCCCGCGTCGGGCTCTGTGCTGACTGCCAGCTCAGAGCCTGGAGCTTGTTTTGGAGTCTGTGTCTCCCTCTCTCTCTGACCCTCCCCTGCTCATGCTGTCTCTCTCTCTCTCTCCTAGAAATAAATAAAAATATTAAAAAAAAATAAAGCACTGAAGAAACAACTGAATAAGATTAAAAAAAAAAAAAGAAATAGTAGAGATAAATGTACCAAAACTTTTTTAAAAAAACATGAAAGACCTTGGTTTGAAATGGCCCGTGAAGAGATAAGAAAAACCCTGTACCTAGACATAGAGTAAAATTAAGGATTAAAGAAAAAGAATAAAATCTAAAAGTTTCAGAAGAGAAAAAAATAACCCACAAAGAAACCAGAATCAGACTGATTGCATACCTCTGGATGCAAGAAAAAACAGAAATATTTTCAATGTAACAAAAGGGGGGAAAGTTAAGTCTAGCATTTTATATCCAGCCAAATTTTATGAATGAATCTGTCATAAAGGCCTCCGAATTTCTGACACCCAAGTGCTGCAGGAAAAAACATTTTGGGAGAAGTATCAACATGATTGATCTATTGGCACATGAGTGTTCCAAATTTCACATCTAGTTAAGGGGGGGATAATAGATATCAATTTTTAAAGTTTATTTACTTTGACAGAGAGAGAGCAAGTGAGCAAGTAGGGAAGAGGTGGAGAGAGAGGGAGAGAGAGAGAGAATCCCAACCAGGCTCCACACTGTCAGTGCATAGCCCAATACGGAGCTCGAACTCACAAACCATGAGATCATGACCTGAGCCAAAGTCGGACACTTAACCAACTGAGCCCCCCAGATGCCCCAGAAATCATTTTTTAAATTGAGATAAAATTCATCATTTTACATTCCGACTAGCAATGCACAGGGTTCCAATTTCTCCACATCCTCATCAACTTTCCTTATTGTCTGACTTTCTGATTTTAGCCAAAAAGTGGCATCTCCTTATGGTTTTGATTTGTATTTCCCGGATGACTAATGATGTTGAGGATCTTTTCATGTGCTTGTTAGTCATCGTCTCTGGGGAAATGTTTATGCAAGTCCTTTGCCCACTTTTAGAATGGGGGTAGTTTGCTTTTATTGGTATTGGAATTCTTTGTATACTCTAGACAATAGACTCTTACCAGATTTGCAAATCTTTTCTCCCATTCTGTGAATTTTATTTTCATTTCTTGCTAGCATCCTCTGATGCACACAGATTTTAGGTTTCATGAACCTAGTTTGTCTGTTTTGCTGCTGTTGGCTTGTGGTTTGGTTGTCATGTTTAAGAAACATATTTAAGGCTACAAAGATTTGCTCCTATGTTTCCTTCTAAGAGTTTATAGCTTTAGCTCTTACATTTAGGCTTTGATCCATCTGAGTTCCATTTTGTACATGTTGTGGATGACTCCTCCATGCCCAATACTGTGCCAAATTCTGCGCTGAGCTCTGATTTTTACTAAGAAAATGGTGACCATGTATGTATCTCAGAACCTCTCCCCTGTCACTGATACTGGTTAGGTCATCACTGACTGCGTCCAGGACCCTGGAGGGAGGGAGACACAGAGAGCAGTCACCCGGAGCTGAGAGCCACACTGAATGCAGGGGAAGG